GTATTTAAAGGACCAGACTTACAGTAATAAATCAAGAATTATTTATTAAAAAAATCTGCTTACCAACAAATATAACAGTATACTAAAAAAAAAAAGTACACTTTTGTTTTAATTAATTAATTAATTAATTAATTTTTGCGGAACCGGGGATTGAACTCAGGCCCTTGCACTTGCCAGGGAAGTGCTTATTCTACTGAGCCATCTCCCCGGCCACTTTGTTTTAATTTTTTAAAAAATCATTTATTTATTTATTTATTTATTTTATATATTTGGTACAAGATCTCTCTACACAGCTTGGACTCAGTGATCCTGTCTCAGCTTCCCCAGTGCTGGGATTACAGCCATTTGCTACCAGGCCTGGTTTCGTGGCTGGCACAATGTGTCCAGAGTTCTTGGCCGGCACAGCATGCGGTACCGGGGATCAAACCTGGATCCCTGTGCTTACGAGGTAGGCTCTTAGACTGCTGAGCTATCTCCCCAGCTTGGATACTTTTTGAATTAATAAAGAAATTATAAAAATTATCTCAGCAAGGGACATTAATCTCTGTGTAATCACAAAGATTCTAAGTTTGTCTAAATGTTCTAGTTGAGTCCCTTGCAATTTACATACATAGCAACTTCACTCTTTAATCTTATGTTATAAACAGTTATTATTGTTGAATAATTACACAGAATGAATGTAGGTCAGTTTCACATAAAGGACCCTGACAGTCTGGCAGGAGAAAAGCTTTCCCAGTTTTTCTCTTACAGGTTTTCTTTCCTGGAAATTGTAAGAGGTAAAGAAAGGGACAGGATTAGAGTACCACACTGTCTTATTTGGAACTGTGATTAATTTCAAAAACTTATAAATTTACAATTGTGGGTGTGTAAAAAGCACAAGGGGCTTTAAAAGCACAGGACACAGGTGTTGAAATTTAGCATCTTGGTAAGAAGATAAATCTGAACAGAAATGATTATCCTGTAAACCAGTTTAATTATCATATAAGGTTATTACATTTGAAAATAAGAGGTTTCTAGAAGTCATTTTATCATATAGGCTATACATACAGGTACCATGGCCAGGCTCCTCCAGGGTTCTATGTAATGAGCTACTGTAGGGGTGCTTCTCCCCTTCAGCATGGGTCCCCTCAAAGACCAGTCCTACATACCTCCTGCCACTACACACGCCACCCTGGGCAGTCTCCCAAGTGGACAGAGCAGGCTTGAGCCAGAATCCACCAGGGTTCAGATGGCCTGCCTGGAGCTAGTCTCAGCATTTGGAATTCTTTCTTACATCTCTGTTCCATTTGGGGCAGGGGTTTCTTACAGGGGAGGCTAAGCTGTTCTTGTCAGGTGAGTGGTACTCTAAGGTCTACAGAGCTTGTCTGGCTGAGATAGCATTATATCCTGAGACTTCCTGGTTGGGTCAGGCTGTGTGACACAACACTGGCATGGGTGACACTGAGTAGGCTGCATGGCTAAACTGACTCTTGCAACTCCAATAAATCTCTTACAATGTGCTACTGTGAGGACCAGGGATAGAAAAAGCATTGTTTTCTGGGTCCAGACAGAAAGATTACAAGGAAACGTTACATCTGATCAGAGGAGGGGACACATCCTCTGCACCAAACACAAGGCAGGAGGGTAATAGAGGTGGGACATCCTCGGATTCCAGCCTAGAATCCTGTGTGTGTGGAAGCACAGCAAATTGGGCTGTGTGTTCTATCAAAGCACAGTTCTGAGAAAAATATCTGCTGCATGAGTGAGAAAAACAATCAACTGCCAAAGAGGGAGTCTATCTAGCTATTTTAGTATTTCTAATTACAGAGCTAAAGTGCAGTATTATAGGAAACAATCCTGAATCAGCACATTAAGAAAGCAGCTCTCATTAGCAGTATTTTTAGTCAAGAGGTCTGAAGTTCTAAAAGAGATTACTTAATGATGTTATATATAGAGAGCTAGGAGACAGAGGTGGATAGGCACAAACAAAAACAATCACTGAGAAAGAAATTAGGGAAACTTCACCTTTAACAATAGCATCAAAAAGACTGAAATATTTAGGAATCAATCTAACAAAGGAAGTAATGGATGTACAGAGTGAAAATCAGTGCTCTAAAAAAAAGATTGAAGAGAACTTCAGAAAAAAAAAAAAAAAAGGAAAGATCTTCCTTGTTCATGGATAGGAAGAACATTGTGAAAATGTCTGTACTCTTAAAACTGTTACACAGATTTAATATAATTCTGATCGAAATACCATTAAGTATACCTCATGGATATAGAAAAAAATTCCTAAGATTCATCTGGAACCAGAAGAGACCTAGAATAGCAAAAGTAATTCTAGGCAACAAAGACAAGGCAGTAGGTATCACAATCCCTAACTTGAAATTGTACTACAAAGCTACTGTGATAAAATCAGCATGGTACTGGCAAACAAACAAACAGACCTCAGCATCAATGGAACAGATTAGAAGAAACGGACAAGGGGCTGGGCAGTTAGCTCAGTAGAATAAGCACTTGCCTGGGAAGTGCAAGTTCCTACGTTCAATCCCCACTACCGCAAAAAAGAAAAAAAAAAAAAAAAAAAAAGGAATACAAGCAGACACAATTACAAACACGCTCAGAAAAGGGGACAAACGTTCACTGGAAGAAAGATTGCCTCTTTAATAAATGGTGCTAGAAAAACTGGCTTTCCACATGCCCAAAACTAAGACTAGAACAATGTCTATCACCATACACAAAACTAAAGTAAAAATGGATCAAAGACCTAAATATGAAAAGAGAAACACTAAAATACTGGAAAAGAATGTATATAGAAATCTTTAAGACTTGGGGACAGGCAGAGAGTTCATGAAAAAAAGAAAATTCTAGCCAACTGTCCCACAGATGAAGAATTTTTATCTAGAACATATAAAGAATTTTAAAAAATCAGGCCCCCAAAATTCAAAGACCCAATCCAAAAATGGGCATCCGAGATGAATACACACTCCCCAGAAGAAGAAATACAAATAGCAAATAAATCTATGAAAAACTGTTCAAATCATTAGCCATTTGAGAGCAAACATTTCCCATAAAGGGCAAGAAAGACAGTACAGATCTTAGATTTTAAATGCAAATTAAACAACAACTGAGCTTCCATCTCACCCTAGGAGCAATGGCTATTATCAAGGGTTTCGGAGGTGGCTGGATATACAGTGGGATTGATTCATGGTACAATGGGGGGGGCAATTACTAAATCGGTCCTTTGATTGGTTTGGGACTGCCCTAATCCCAGAAGCCTACGTAGAAGGTAAGAAGGTCAGAAAAAGTCGGTAAAGCTCCTTACTTGCTTGCTTTGTTACCTTCTGTCTGCCATAAACTGTTTCTCTTTTGTGATGCCACACTATGTTTGAACCAGCTAATTATGGACTGAAACCTCTACAAGTTGTGGGCTAAATAAACCTGTCCTCCCTTTAATTTTGTGTGCTGGGTTTTTTGTCCCAGCAATGAGAGAAAAGGAAGACAGAATTTATAAATTAATCTCCTAAAAATAAAGTCAATAATACTCATTTTTACCAAAAAGCTATAAAATGTTTTTATGCAAGTGGGTGGGGGAGATAGCTCGGCGGTCTAAGTATCTGCCTGGCAAGCTCAAGGACCTTGGTTTGATCCCAGGTACCACATGCTGTGGTGGCCCTGGAAATCTGGGTACACTGTGCCACCCGGAAACCAGGTGTGGTGGCACATATCTGTAATCCCAATGTCGAGGAGGCTAAGATAGGAGGCTCACCATGAGCCCAAGATGCATAGTGAGACCCTGTGCCAAGTGAATGAATGAATGAATGAATGAATGAATGAAAATTCCAGTTTTCAAGCCTCTAACTTCTAAATCCCCTATTATTGGGATGCGGTAGCACACACCTGCAATCCCAGCACTTGGGAAGCTGAGATAGGAGGATTACTGTGAGTTTGAGGCCAGCCTGGGCTACAAAGTAAGTTTCCGGCTAGCCTGAATGACATAGTGAAACCTGTCTCAAAAAGAAGCCCCCCAAAAGAACTAAAAAAACAAAAACAAAAACAAAACCTCAAACTCTACTGAGATTGACAAATAAGTGCTCCTTCGTTTCACTGGAAAGTTTTGTTTATAAATTAATTTTGTGAGATATAGGAAACTACATACTCTTGGCATCATTTAACAGTTCAATATTCAATATTTAATCAATTAACTCACTAATAAGTCTGTTTGATGAAAATTATCTGGTGGTTTTTTAGAAGTTCTTTTAAGTATTCATTTTAAATAATATTTCTTTCCAAGGAATATATTTAAGACAATCTGGGTTTTCTTCAAATATCATAAAACTTCTAAGTCTTTGGAGTGTTTCTCTCACAAAATGAGTGACAACAGGCTAACAGTTGACGCTACCGCATTACACTTCACAGCTCCTAGAGTACAAGTACTCCACAGGCTCCACTGCCTTCACCAGTACCATGAGGCTGATGGGATGAGAGATGCTTTCATGGGAATTTAAAACACAAAGTGTAACATGCCAAAGATTACCAACATCATCATCAACATTACCACCATAAGCATCATCCTTATGTTGCTTAATTTCACTGAACCTCAGGAAAATACTCAAAGAAAGAGGAAGTGCATGAAAGAATTTAAAGTGATACCAATTCGTTTTGACTTTAAAATTGACTTTGAGCTGGGAACACTACAATTGAAAAATTACAGTGTAGCTAAGTAATATACAACAGGAAAGCTGGCAAGCGCAGCATCTGGGAGCACCGCCTACAGCTGAAGACCCAAACTCCTGCAGTTTACCGCAGAGCAGGGTCTGCACAGTCCAGGCTGCAGCATTCTCTTCTCTGAGTTTGTGAAATGCACACTTGCAACGCTGCGCCCGTTCTGATCACTACATGCTGTGAAGTGAGGTAGCAATGGGGTGCTCTTGAGAACTCCTACTTGTGTAGGCTCTGACAACTTTAACTCAGCCTTGTCTGAAATTTTACTGTGTGGTTACAGTAAGTGGGAAGCGACATACCTGCCCCAGGCTGCCTCGGTAGTGGATGCTTCATTAACGGGAACACAGGAGGAGTCAATGACGGCTGATGTGTTCATCTTGTAGCAGAAGCCGCAGTTTGGATCCAACATGCATTCATTACAGTAGCTGAAAAAGGGAAAGAGTTACAGGCATGGCGGGAGAGACAGCAGGCGCTTGCCATATATTGGATTCCAAGTGCCCTCATGCATTTCCCAGTCTAGTTCTCAGAAAGCACAGGGCCTCAGGACTAGGCAAGTGACATGTGCTGAGACAGGTGACAGCTGGCTGCTTGCTTCCATGTCTGTCTCCTGGCTACAGCAACTGTAGAAGCCACTTTGTGATGGAGGAGACGTGGCTGAAGAGACTGGAGGCCAAACAGCCGCAGTCAACCTGGAGCAGATAAACTTGCCGTCCTGAATTAGTAAGATTCGTTAACAAGCCGTAGACTGACACATCTTGATCCATGTCTGATTGGTTCTGAACTGTGCTGAAGCATTTATTTCTCATAATTGCCTTTTTCAGAAACTATCTATTTTAAAAACCAGGAAACAGCCACCCCACCTAATATAATATCAGAAAATTTAAATACTTTAAATGAAATTATTAAACAGAAATTAACAGAATTAAACAAAAATTTAAATAAGTTAAATAATGGATAATGTGCTTATAGAGAAAAGTTAACAGAAACCTATTATCCAAATATGGCCATTTCTTTTTTTTTTTTTTTTTTTTGGTGGAACTGGGGA